GAGGGGCGGGGCGAGAGCGGGAGGGGCGGGGCGAGAGCGGGAGGGGCCGACCCGGCTGGCGGAGCGGGCAGGGCGAGGGCGGCCGGAGATCGCAGGAGTTATGGGCCCAGGAGGCCCAGGGCCGGCCGAGCCTGTGCTAAAGGAGAAGGGCTAGGGTGACCCAGGACCTGCGCGGAGCCATGGCAGAGGGAAACTAGTGGTTCCCAGACAGGACCGAAGCGGGGACGGGGATAGGGCGAGGGCGGGCGATCTGAAGTCACCCTGGACTTGAGCCGGGGGGAGCGGGCGGACTGCGCGGGGTAGGGATCTCAGCTGTGGGCAGTCGGAGGACACCAGAGAGAATCCAGGTGAGGGCAGGTCCACTCTCCAGCGTCCACCCACCTGTCCAGTAAGGAGAGGGCACCTGGTAGAAGAAGCCTAGAGGAACCCATCTCGTTGGTGTGGTGCTAGTTTCTATTCTCGTCCCCCACCTGTTTAGCCTCCGGAGGGGGTCTCTGGGAACTCAGTTAATCGGCTAACGAGTTAATAAGGTGAGTCACACTCCTTACAAATCTGGGATTCAAAGTCATCACCTGACTCCTACTCTAGACCCTGATGACTCTGCCCTGCTGGGCCCTATTTGAATAAAGGCATGCCCCCAAAACACTAAGGGTTGGGCTCCAGACCACCGGAATAAAGTTAATATGGCAATAAAGTGAGTCACACCACTTTTTTTTCTCAGTGCATATAAAATTATATTTACAGTATACTGTAGTCTGTTAAGTGTGCAATAGCATTATGTCTCAAAAAAATACATATGGCTTTTTTTTTTTTTTTTTTTTTTTTGATGGAGCCTCACTCTGTCGCCCAGGCTGGAGAGCAGTGGAGTGATCTCAGCTCACTGCAACCTCTGCTTCCCAGGTTCAAGCAATTCTCCTGCCTCAGCCTCCTTAGTAGCTGGGATTACAGGCACACACCACCACGTTCAGCTAATTTTTGTATTTTTAGTAGAGGTGGGGTTTCACCATGTTGGCCAGGCTGGTCCTGAACTTCTGACCTCAAGTGATCCTCCCACCTCGGGTTCCCAATGTGCTGTGGTTACAGACATGAGCCACAGCACCCAGTCCAATGCACATACCTTAATTTAAAAATATTCATTGCTAGGCCGGGCGCGGTGGCTCACGCCTGTAATCCCAGCACTTTGGGAGGCTGAGGCGGGTGGATCACGAGGTCAAGAGATCGAGACCATCCTGGTCAACATGGTGAAACCCCATCTCTACTAAAACTACAAAAAATTAGCTGGGCATGGTGGTGCATGCCTGTAATCCCAGCTACTCAGGAGGCTGAGGCAGGAGAATTGCCTGAACCCAGGAGGCGGAGGTTGCCGTGAGCCGAGATCGCGCCATTGCACTCCAGCCTGGGTAACAAGAGCGAAACTCCGTCTCAAAAAAAAAAAAAAAAAAAAAAATATTCATTGCTAAAAATGTTAGTGATCATCTGAGCCTTTAGTGAGTCATAATCATTTCACTGGTGGAGCGCCTTGCTTTGATGTTGATGGCTGCTGACTGATCAGGGTAGTGGTTGCTGAAAGTTGAGGTGGACGTAGCAATTTCTTAAAATAAGACAACAGAGAAGTTTGCCTCATCAATTGAGTCTTCCTTTCACAAAAGATTTCTCAATAGCACCCAATGCTGTTTGATAGCATTTAACCCACGACAGAACTTTTTTCAAAATTGGAGTCAGTTCTCTCAATCCCTGCCACTGCTTTATCGAGCAAGTTTATGGAGTATTCTAAATCGTTTCTTGTCATTTCAACAATGCTCACAGCGTCTTCACCAGGAGTAGATTCCATCTCATGAAACTACTTTCTTTGCTCATCCATAAGCAACTCCTCATCCATTCAACTTTCATCATGAATTGCAGCAATTCAGTTTGTCTTCGGGCTCCACTTCTAATCCTGGTTCTCTGGCTACTTCTACCACATCTGCAGTTACTTCCTCCACTGACATCTTGAATGCCTCCAAGTCATCCATGAGGATTGGAATCAACTTCTTCCAAACTCCTGTTAGCACGGATATTTTGACCTCCTCCCATCATGAATCACAAATGTTCTTAATGACATTTTGAATGGTGAATCCTATCCAAAAGATTGAATTTGCCCAGATCCATCAGAGGAATCACTATCTACGGCAACTAATGCTTTACAAAATGTATTTTTTCTTTTTTGAGACAGAGTTTCGCTCTTGTTGCCTAGGCTGGAGTGCAATGGCGTGATCTCGGCTCACTGAAACATCCGACTCCTGGGCTCAAGCAATTCTCCTGTCTCAGCCTCCCTTGTAGCTGGGATTTACAGGCATGTGCCACCACGCCCAGCTAATTTTTTGTATTTTTAGTAGAGACAGGGTTTGGCTATGTTGGTCAGGCTTGTCTCGAACTCCTGACCTCAGGTAATCCACCTGCCTCGGCCTCCCAAAGTGCTGGGATTACAGGCTTTGGTGAGCCACCATACCTGGCCCAAAATGTATTTCTTAAATAATAAGACTTGAAAATCAAAATTACTCCTCAATCTACAGGCTGCAGAATGGATACTGTATTAGCAAGCATGCAAACAACATTAATCTCCTTGTACATCTCCAGGGGTGACAATTCCTTTCACTTCAACACCTAGAGGCCCTTGTAGGGTTATTTCAATATTGTTGTGTCTCAGGGAATAGGGAGGTCCTGAGAGAGGGAGGGAGTTGGGGGAACGGCTGGTCGATGGAGCAGTCAGAACACATACAATGTTTATTGATTAAGCTTGCCATGTTATATGAGTGCAGTTCATGGCGCCCCAGAACAATTACAATAATATCAAAGATCACTGATCACAGATCACTATAACAGACAATAATAATAATAATGACAATGTTTGAAATATTGCAAGAATTACCAAAATGTGATGCAGAGACCCAAAGTGAGCACATGCTTTTGGGAAAATGGTGCCAACAGACTTGCTTAAAGCAGTGTTGACACAGATCTTCAATTTCTTTGCTTGGCTTTTCTTAACCTATTGCTGTCACCTATATTTCCCAAAACCTTCAATTTCTTTAAAAATTCCACTACCAGGCTGGGCGCGGTGGCTCAAGCCTGTAATCCCAGCACTTTGGGAGGCCGAGGCGGGTGGATCACAAGGTCAAGAGATCGAGACCATCCTGGTCAACATGGTGAAACCCCGTCTCTACTAAAGCTACAAAAAAAAAATTAGCTGGGCATGGTGGTGCGTGCCTGTAATCCCAGCTACTCAGGAGGCTGAGGCAGGAGAATTGCCTGAACCCAGGAGGCGGAGCTTGCGGTGAGCCGAGATCGCGCCATTGCACTCCAGCCTGGGTAACAGGAGCGAAACGCCGTCTCAAAAAAAAAAAAAAAAAAAAAAAAAAAAAA